CGCGTTTCTTTAAAACTTCTAACCTTTTAAACCATGTCTAGTTGACGTAAATAATACACGCCCTAAAAAATCAATTGTCGTTGTAGTTGGAGTCTTTCTTCTACTTACTAACAAATCAAATGCAGGAGCCGATTAACCTGTCATATAGTGGTTAACATTCACATTTTCTAAGCTCTGGCGCATCTTGGTATATGTTTTGATAATTATCCTTAAATAAGCGTTTTTCTTTTCGCCTGATAGAACTGTATTCGACTCTTTGGAGCTTGAATTACTAAGGCAAAGTTCCTTTCATTTCTTCCAAGTCGATTCTCTGTTGTCAGAAGTCCAACTGCTTGACAGCGGCAAATCCGTATAGAAGTCTAGTAGAATAGCTGTCTGTTCCCTATTCCTAGCATCAAAAGGTCTTTTATACTCAACTGGTTACATTCGGCGTCTTGTTGTAACCAGTTTCGAAGCAACATATCTTCTGTAACTAGATGGTCCTCACCATCTGTTTTATCTTTTCGTTCGCCATCTTCATCTCAAGTATCAACAGTCGCTTGATTGTATGCGCCCACATAAGACATTCAACCCACATAAGACGTCTGAGATCAATCCTTGGTGAATTCAGAACGTATCAAACCCGTGATAACGTATCTCCCTTTAGAACGTTTTGGATAACAAAAACCTGCTTTTCGGTGCTGCGGAATTACTATTTGGTCCAACTGATGTATTGTCACTTGGAGCTTAGAGAAGCAAGGGGGCTTTTTGATTATTTGCATGACGATACGAGCTGTCCATATCAAATCTGAATCTTCCATGGAAAACAGTTTGTGTGTAATGAGTAGTGAGAGGCTCATTGCCGGCCGAGGGTCATCTTGTCCCAGAAGGCTCCAAAATTGTGGACGCCGAGAGCGAACTGTTGAAATGCGTCCAACTCGGAATCAGCAGGCGCCTAGCCGCTTAGTACACAAAGGCATAAAAAGGAAACATAATCCACCTAGTGCGCCACATCTTGGTGGTCCATGGCAGCGTTTAGTAAAAAATTGCAAGCGAGAATTCTGCTCGAGACTTTAAACGCCATGAGTACTTGATACAACCTTCTGCTTGGTCAAGCAATCTGTAAATGTGCGACCACTGACCCTATTAAACAGTGATCCAGATAGCTTGGTAGCTAATTCGCCTAACTAATCCCTGCTTGGTCGGCCAAGTGCGACATCCACTTCCCTGAGCTTTGAAGAAGAGTTGAACCATAGCAAACGGTCCGTGTGTGCGCAGGCATATGCAAATGCATTCTGGTCACGATGTCTAGGCAAGTATGTGCCATGCCTCAATAAGCGAGCAAGTGGCTTTCTCTCCAGAACGGGAACTCAAGGCTATTTAGTAATTATCCTTTAGCCCGTGTTGAACTTTGAAAAAGACGGAGGTACGCGATCCGCCGTACTTAAAACTTTGAATGGTGATGTTACCCGTCCTGCAGTGACATTCGCGTCCGTGCTCGCTTCCTTTGAGGCGGAGATTGTCGCCACGCAAAGAAACTTTCATCAGCAAGAATATGAAAGCGAATAAATTGAACAAGATTAAAACCAGTTGGCCGAGCAGTCAGAAGCAATACCTACAAAGTGACCAAACCTGTTCAGCGTATGTTCAAATCAATCAAAAACCAATTTTTTTATCCAACAAAAATTCAAATAAAATTGAAACTAATCATAAAACATAGAAAAATGAGCATGTCTGACCTTTTCTGGCAGGTTATTGCAATCTGTATCTGTTTTACTGCGGATCACAAAGGGCTGCTGTTGTAAACACGTTCTAGTCGTAAATGCGCCGATTTGTTAATTAAATTGAAAGCAGATATTTATACTTTTTTATCAAAAATTCTGCAATTTATTCCGTTTCCAGAACTAACTCAATTTGGTTATACCTTTGTTGTTGTGGTACAAAACATTTTAGAATTAAAAGTTAAGCGCGGTCACAAAAGTAGTGGGAATTTACGTGGTATGTGGTATGTCTGTTGCCTCAAAGTTGGATGTCTTTTATTTTAGGAACAAAAATTAGTACAAAGCATCATAAATTATTGCTAACACCTCAAGAGGAGTCTTTTTTTTCAATTGTAAAAACCTATTAGTACTAGTTTTTCTTTTTAATTTTGATTTTTTTTTCTGCTTTTGTAGAAAAAATATTTCGACTGCTCAACTTCGTCTGGGTGAAAAAATTTTCTTTTGCAGTTTACTTAAGTATTTTTGAAGTTTTTTCCACAAACCATCTTATGAGTTTACCTTGAGCTTAAAAAAAGTTGATATACATGTATTTCTCGAAACAGACGGGTTTTTGTTAGTCCCAAGTGTTTCATTTGTTCCTTTTTTATTTTGAAACGGCTCCTCCAAACGATTCATTGCTGGCTTCTTCTATTTTTCACGTCTCTTTCCTATCTGCGCCATAAGTCATTAAAATAAATTTAAAAAAATTGGTTTAAAAACCGTTTTGTTATCCTGAGCAGAGTAGCGGTATTAAGAAAAATTTGAGTCAAAAATCATCCCGATTTAGCTTCTCTTCTCAAAAATTTATTAGATAGATATGCTTTGAAGTTCACTTTTTGTCAATTGCTAAGCCTAAGTAATTATCAGAGCTTTCCTTGAATTTTTTGTTAAGTTCCAAAGCAACTGATTTATTCCCATTTGCAGTGAGCTTAAACTCCAAAAATCACATTTCAACTTTGCTTCATTTATTTCAAATTGCTATTGCCCTCATATTGCTATACTATGCATAGTTATCGGCAAACAGTACTACCGTATTCTGTCTGCAGACTGTTAGCAAATTATTTAAATTTTAAACAAATAACAGCAAACGCAGGACTGCAGGACTGAACTTGGTGTTACATAATAATTTTCTTGTTTATGGTTCGAATATTAACTCTTATAACTAACGCACTGCTTACAAATCACAAACTATGACCTCGAAAAATTGAAAGCTTATTTTTAAACCAATCCGTTTTATTCGAACTTGTAGAAGAACATTTGATAATCAACTGTGTCAAACGCTTTTGTAACATCTTCAAAAAGAGCCAATTTCTTCTTCCAAAATCAGCACTGTTAGTTAATTCAGGTCCGGGATAGCATCCATTGTACAAATATAATCCATTATAATCCATAATTTTTGTTACTGTAATCGATTATTTTTGCCAAGATAATCCATTATAACCGATAATTTTGAAATTAAATCCATTAAAATCCATTATAACTGATTATAAATTCAATTATTTTTGCAAAGTATTGCAAGTTTTGCGAGAAATTTGCAGAACTTTGCCATGTCTTTTACTAAATGCCATGTCTCAACGTCATCCCCTCGCCCCTCAAGCTTTTTTAACCCCCCTCTCATCTAAAGGGGGAGGGTAAACTGGGAGGATGGGTAAAACAACCGGGGGCGGGAGGGGGCTAAATAAACCGGGGGAGGGGTAAATAAACCGGGCGGCGGGGAACTGGTCACTCCCACCCAAGCGTCATCTCCTCGCCCCTCAAGATTTCTTCCCCCCAACTGAAGGTGTAGGGTCAACTTTAGTAAACTGGGGGCTCAACTGGAAGGGGGGATAAACTGGGAGGGGGTTTGTGGTAAAAAAAACAGTAAAGTGAAGTGTTAAACGGCAATGAATTAAAAAAGTAGAGACAAAAAATTTTTTTTTTCTGAATTGTAAAATTTTATGAAACGTATTACGTAGCAACTGCACTAAACAAGAATTGAGATGATTTCGAACAAAATTGTAAATTTTATGAATTACCCCTCGAAATAATCCATTATAATCGATAATAATTAATAATAATGGAATTTATTGGCATAACAAATATTAGGATTATAATCCATTTTAAATGGATTAGAATCAATTATAATGGATTATATTGACAAAAAATATATTAGGATTATGATCCATTTTCAAAGATTATAATCGATTATTTTGTCATTTTATAGATGCTGACCATATCATGACAAATATAGTCGATTATGATCCATGGGCGCTCGGTGCGGGTTACGTCGTTGCATTGTGAAAAGTTGAGTCTTGATGCACTTTTCTATGTAATTGAATGATGCGAAAGTTTTGCATTGTATTTATATTCTCACAATAGATAGTGGTTGGGTAGTTGGCAATTTTTATGTAGAGAGTTCAGAGATTTTGAAAGATTTGATATGCTTTTCTTAAAGCCAGAAATTGCTATAAAAACATTTCAAAAACCGGCGAAGACATTATATCAAGTTACCTTCCCTGAACTATTACATCTGACTTGTTTTTATACCGGCGAAGACATTACATCAAGTCTTACATCAGAATCGGAAAAAACCTTCCCTGAGCTATTCCATCTGACTTGTTTTTATCAAAACGAGTGAGAGATCTCTTTGAGAGCGTGTAGTCATGGTTTCATCTTGTTTTTGTTATAAAAACAAATTTGAATTAAAATCACGAATTTGGTTCACCAGAAATCATCGCTGCTGAATATGCAGCTATGTATGATTGCATAGGTGTTACTTCTAAATTTCAAAGTTTGACCCTTGAGTCGAGAATCAATTAACTGAGAGCCCAGAAACTGTCTGGATGATTGGCTTGTTCGTTGTAATGTGAAATCAGGTGTAATTATTACCGAAGTAAAGTGACTCAAATCTACAGTGCATTGGGGGTACCATCTCGAAGAGGAGTCTTGATACAGAAACATGTAATAATAGGCCATCAAATTGATAACTAAGCAATGGTCATTCTGCAATAATCTTATTTCGTAGTCCACCGACATATTAATTAGTTATAAATATTAGTTATAAAATATTACATGGTGACCATGGCTGATCAATTAATACATGGTGACCAGTATGATTTATACCCATGGTCATCCATATATGACAAAACCCCTCCACCCACCCCGCCCTCCCCGTCATAGAGCACTATAAGCATACTACTTAGCATAGACATGATATTGAAACTAGGATGTGCCTGTCAAGTTAGTTCTGAAGTGTGGTAAGCGTTCGACTTGCTAGTAGATACCAAAATTGTTTGGAACTATGCAACCGATTGACCAGTGGAGCTGGAGTAATCAATATTTCTTCGCAAATAACTAATTGACAAATATTACAATCGATGGGCATTTCTTGATAGACTTACCGTGATCGTCGAATACTTTTTGGCGTATTTGGAAACTCTGAAGTGTTATTGCTACCTTGACTGTTTGTTATAAAAGCAAAAACTGTTTGCGTGGTGTTGTTCTGAAGTTGAATTTAGCTAAAATTGGCAAATAACTGCCGATATTGTTCAACGTTGCTTAAAAATGGGCGAAAATACGTTTATAGAGCCTAACTTTCAAATCGAGCTCTCCATTTTGTTTTTGGGCGAAACTACCTGCGGGAAGTCGTCGCTGATTCGGGCGTTTTTGGGGGAGAGTTTTATGTTTAAATTGTCCCCCAGCGCCGGAGTGGATACCAGACATCGAATTATCAAACTAGCAGAAGACAGTCTAGTTGTCAAGATGAAGTTCCTGGATGCGGGTTGCCGGACCACTTTCGAGACGGTTGTTAACTCCTATTACCGAGAGGCTGACTGTTACGTAATTGTGTTCGACTTGCAAAAACGAGACACGTTCGAAAAAGTGCAAAATTGGCTTGACTCAATCGTCGACAAAGGTCAGCGATGACTACTTTCAAGATGTATATTTTATCATTTTTCAATTATTAGGCTAGGAAAACACAACAAAACTGTGGAAACCGATTCTAAAAGCTGAGTTGAACTAGTAAGCGAATTGATAGCCGAGTTTTGATTACGAAAATTTTGGATTTTTCATTGAAAACCAAACCAATTTTTGTAGGAATATTTTGTGACATTTCAAAATTCATTTGAATTTGGCAATGGGTAATTTTTTAAAAATCAGCGCTTGGTGCGCCAATTGAATTTCTGGTTTCCGAGAAAGAGTGCGCGGTTCGGGAAAATATTCCGTAATATGCTATCGGCTAAATTAAAAAAAATGTGAATACTGTACAGGTAATTAAAAACAACAACCAATATCAGGCGTTTTGGTCCTTTTTTCTCGTACTTTTTGATGTATAAAACTCTTTGATGTTAAGTTCGACTTAGCTTACGTCTTAGAAAAACACAAACTATATATTAACATGGCTAGCATAAAAACTCAATTGATCAGCTTTTGAAGAAATCTTAGTGATGTTTTCAAAGCATTACGGATTCCATTCAAGACGCGTTCCTTATTTCGGTTGTTTGGTGAACTTTTTTCTTGAATATTAATGTGTGAATCATAATAAGTATAATAATAACAGCAATAGTGATATAATGCTTTTTAAAAGCAAGTTATTTTGGTTGATTTTCCTTTATAAATTAAGTCGTAAAGGGAATCTGCTTTAGTTCGCATTATATTGAACTATATTTCAATGGCCTCTCAACCAAAGAAACCTACCTTATAGAACTGAGGATCTCAGATGTTTTTTTTATCGATGGCAAAAAAAGTAGTGGTAAATGAATGTTCTGATGGCGAAAAAATGCATTAAGTTGTTCAATTGTAACTATTACGAAAAAAAAACATGGTTGCATGATGGAAGCTTTTAGAGTAGTCATTGTTTCAAAAGGCGGTGACATGAGCCGAAAACTTTTTGTCATAATCGGAAACAAAATGGACCTCAAAAGCCGAGTTCCTCTCTCGGAAATCGAAAAATTCTGCGACGACAGTGCACAGAAACCACTGATGTTTTTGACGTCGTGCAAGAGCGGAGAAAATGTTGAGGACGCTTTTCATGACATCGCCGAGGAGTGTATTCGGAGAGGCCTTGGCCGAGACGCGAACAACGTTCGGAAAAGTACATTGGATATTAGGTCAGAGCCAGACCCGAATCAGAAAGTGACCTTGAACAGTTCTTCCGGTGGCTGTGGATGCTGAACACAATCTAAACGATTACGAGCGTTTACAAAAACTAAATTAGAAATATATTTACTGCAACTGATTTTTTTTTAGTTTCTCAAAAAAAAATGTTCAATGCCTAATTGACGTTTTTGAACTGTCAATGAAAGAAGTGAACACACTTATTTCGTTATTGTTGTGCTTTTTTCAGGAAAAAGACTTAATAATTGTTCATGTTCAAATTTGGTTTGTGCGGTTTGGTTTTTACTTTTATTTATTTTTAAGTTCAATTAAAATTCATAGCTACGGAAAACTTAAGTGATGCTCTCGAAAAACTCTCGAAAAAGGCGAAGAACTTTAGTTTCGAAGGTGCAGTAAGTTTTTTGAAATTGGGTTTGCTTGATCTAAAAGTGTCAATCGTATTTCGTATTAGATTCTTCAACTTCCAAGAACTTTAAGGACATCTATGATTTTGTTCTTAAAATAATCAGTCGTTTTTTCGGCTGTTTTTTCAGTTCATTGAAACTTTCCCAGCTGCCTGTTGGCTTCGCTCAAAGCTCTGATTTATTAAAAATCTAATTAAGAGACGTCTTTTTTTCCTGCTAAATCTTTGTTACCTTTAGATCGCGCTGAAAAAAAAACGGAAAAATGGTGTGATATCTACGTTTAAAGAAAAATTTTTGACAGTTCAGTTTATCAATTATTCTCTAACGGTAATCGGAAGTGAATTTCAAAGGTAGAGTTCACCTAATTAAATTTATAGAATTATGAACGAAATAAGGAAGTAAATTAGGTGAACTCTGCTTTTGAATTCACTTTTGAAATTAACCCAGAATAACTAAAAGAACGGAAAGCTTTTTGATATCCATAATTGCAATTACTCGGAAAAAGTTTGCAGATCCTGCTCGGAATGTATATAATAATGAATATTAGTACGAATATTTCAGAAGATGAATTCCAACTGTTTTCTATACATACATTTCAAATGTTTTTTTTTTCTACATAGAGCTCTGTAACATGATGGTGGCGACCGAAATTGTTAGCTGGAGTCACCTTGTAAGAAAAATAATCAAAGTGGCACAAAAAAGCACAGAAGTACAAAAAGCACAAAAAAAGATACCCGAGGTGGTGTTCAAAGCGCGATAACTTGCACAACATTAAGATGGTCAAATAATTTTTAGAGAAAAGTATGGTTCACTCAAAAACAAATATATTCTTTTTATATTTGAGCTATTGTAAGCTTTTAACCAATTGAAATAAGATTGCTTGCTCACTTCCTTTGCTCTAAAAATAACGAAAAATCAAAAACTTCAATCAAAATTTTTTCTCGACACTGAAAAAATTTTTGTGAAATTTTAAGACACATCTCGAATCCCGACTGTAAGCGATTTAACATGATGTATCACTCAAACCAACCCGATGAATGTTTATGGTTCCTGATTTTGCGTGGAAAACAAAAAGAAAAAAAGAAAAAAAACTAAAACACACCCGCATACAAATTTCCTCCCCATTTTCAACAGTCGGAACAAAAGTAGACAAAAGTCGAGGTTCGCTGAATTTTTAGTAATTTCCGCGTAGATTTTTCTTTATATTTCATCAAAAGGTAATTTTTTTTATTTCCTTTTTTAAAGTTTCATTGACGAAATTTAATTAGAAAGCAACAGTGATGCTCTGTGAGTTTGTACCATGCACTATGTTGAGTATCAAATTAGGGAGCAGATTTTTCACATGGTTACAAAAAATTCCATCCAGTCAGAAATCAGAAATTTGCATGTTAGATTTACTGGTTAAGTTTGTTCTTTCAAATTATTGGTTAGTCATCATTTAGTCAGCGTAGGGAAACTTCTTGAGGTAGGCTGACTATCAAAAAGATTTTTAAACCGCGATTTTATTTATGTACTCTTTCAACAATCGTTGTATGCAGTTAAAAGAAAACAATTGTCTGATATTGTTTGAACTCAAAAGATTTTTAATTATTGTTTTTCAATTTTGAAACCTTTGCCGAATGATCAATGCTTATTGCAGTATGTTTTTTTTTCCAGAAAAACAATATTTGACTGTTTTTCTTACAATATCGTAGAAATATTTTGATGTCCAAAACTAAGACTAAAAAAGTACAAAATTGTAACAAAAGTTCTCGGCTTGGCTAGTTTTTAGGTTGTTTAACAATAGCAGTTAAATCGACTGTTTAACTACTTTATGCGCGGTTCCATCAACTTATCTATCAGCTCAGGGTTTAGGAATGAATAACGTAAGTGCCTCAAAAGACTTTGCTTTTAAAACCAACCCAAATACTTGGTCTCACTTAATCTTTACCTTATTAATAATATTACGCAGGACTCGATTTTGGCCGCTGAGCCAATAAACAAAACAAAAAGTTTGGAAACCAATCGTGATAATTGTTGCACAAACAACTTACCAGTTTTATTTTAATGGGTGCAAATACGAGTGAAAAGTAATGGTCAAATGGGTTAAAACAGCTCAGAAATAATGACTAACAGGATTGAAGCCAGCTGAATATACTGAATATTTGAAGAAAGTGACAAATTATTTGCGGTCGGGATGGTTTTTCTTTCTCCAGACAAGTACCAAGTTTTCAGTCAACTTATTTTTGAAAGAATTTTTTATATTATCCAAAATATATTGTTGTCCTTGACTTGACTCAAAAAACTCATCTCTCTCCCTTGTTTATAAATTTATGGTGGCTTATAGGTTACCATTTTGACCAATTTGGGACAAATAATGCGCAATACACTTCCCGCTAATAAGACGTAAACGGCGATTTCATTTGTTTAGATGTTCTTCAAAATAATTTCAAGCTGGCTATTTGTCCTAATTGCTAAGTTAAAAGGAGCGAAATCTATCGCTTTGTACTTAAAATGGCGTGGGATACGATTTAAAAAAGAATTGAAAAAATTCAATTTTTTTTGAAAACTTCAACGAGTTTATTTCGGAGTGATCACTGGTTCATAAGCCTTAAAATAAATCCGGAATATTCAGTGCTTTCTGGTGCAATTTTTCAAAATTATTAACAACCTTGACTTGACACACCTTCAAAGACAATTAAAATACTTAAATTTGGTTTTAATATTGGCTTAACTTCTGAATTTTATATATTCTATATATTTCATATATGAAGCTACCGAATAAAAATTACACACAAAGTTGAGAAATTAGTATGGATCTTTACAAAAAACGCGTTGGGGCTAAGTAAATATAAATTGAAAGTTTGTTTTGAATCAATCACTCTTTTTTGAATCAATCATATTCAATCAGTTTTGCTAACGAAAATTTAAAAGACCTTTTCATAATATGAAAAGCTATTTAAAACACCTGGAAGTTCAATGGGAACATGAGCTCTGCGTAAGACCCTAACTTTGACTTTCTTTTAATAATGTTTGATTGTGGAATTCCAATCACGGTCTCAATATTTTATAAGTGGCCAATAACATGAAGTTACAAGACTGTTTGTATCAAGGCGATGTCGTTCTTGTTCTGACTTCCGTTTATTTTTGGCGGAAAAGTTTTTTTTTGTCAAAAAAGGCTCAAACATTGACTTTTGTTCTCTTTTTTTTTCTCCCTAAGCGCTGTGCAAATTACAAACTGATATATCTTGGGCCTGGTAAAGCATTAAAAAATGTTGCCTCATTTCATTTTGGGACGATATAGTTTGCCGCTCACGCTTTAATAGCACAAAATATATGGCGCGTTTATTATCATAAAATGGCCATAGAAGGAAATATCAAGCCCCTATAATATTACGCAAAAATCAAATTAGAAATTTTTGAGCAAGATTTTTTGTATTATTTTGTGTGAGCTGCGTTTTTCTGAATGGGGGGCATTAGTTCGAGAAATATGTTGGAAACCATTTTTTCTAGATTTTAAAGCACTGATCAAATGTTCTGGTTAACTGCTGGTTAAATTTTCTCACTTTTCTGCATGTTCCAAATAACACCAAATCAGAGTAAATTGGCAAAAGAAGAATAGCATTTTCTTAACTAACAAAAAATAATTTTAAAAGCTTTTTAAAAATTTGGTCTTTTTTTGCTGTCGACAAATCTCAATGAGTGATTATTTTTGTAAATATTTTCTTGTTTTATCCTTTTTTGCTGCACATAAACAGTTCCTGAAACGCATGTTGAACAGGTTCTGAGGTTTTTCTAACAATATTCTTCCAGAATTTCCATAATTTTCTTGTGATTTCAAATCAGAGTCTTAATGCTGATGTCCAAAATTTTTGATCATTTCAGTCTACATCAGCATGGGTGATTCATTCGATGATATCAAGCGGAACAATAGCAGTGCTATGGGCAGGAGAACCCCGCCTTTTCACCTTATCCCTCTGGCGAGGGTGGGTGGGGGGAGGGGGGGGGGAGGTGCTACATCTCTTCACTTTCCTCAAGTGCGGTCTCGATCACATCCCCGTCCGCACAATATTTTACGCAGCTTAGCGCCCCCTTTTTCTTTTTTTTCTTCGTCCCCCTACACCCATGCTGTTATGTCAAGTGGCACCCTCACCCATTTTTCAAACACAGACTCATACACTCTCTCAATCTCGAACATGTTTTTACCCCCTAATCACTACCCACAAATACTTTCTGTGCTCCACCCTAATAGCGAAGCGGTCGGGACTCGGCAGATCTCCCACACGCCGTCTGTAGTTTTAAGGGATTTTAAGTGGTATGAAGCTGAAGGACATTTTGAAATCCACGATTTGCATGTTGCAGACTGCGCTTTCGAATCTGAATGAAGCCATTGGTCACTAGCACTCCACCGCTTTTCTGCTTAGAAAGGGATGGTCACGACGAACTGTCGGCTAATTAAGGTCAAAAATCAAGAAGTTCGCCTCACCATTATATCTATATCTAACAAAAATTATTTACTTAGTTAAAAACTCAAAACCAAGCTAAAAGTTTGATACCGATCTAAAGTTTTTACCAGCAGACATTTGAAAATTCGTAACAATACATTGTCAAGTAGAATACACTAGCTCCGCTTCGCTCCCGCTTCGGTCCGCTGCGCTTACATCCGGCACGAGATGTAAGTGTTCCCCACTTAAACTACTCTTATGAATTGTCGCTTGTTATGAAATGTCGCCTATTACGAATTGTCGCTTGTTACGAATTGTCGCCCCACGAATTAAACTGTTGTTATCAGCCTCAGGTAATACAAATGCACAATCATACACCATTTTTGTACACATTTGATTTGACATATCTAACCGTTTTTTTCTTAATTGATTGTCTTTTCTTATTTGAGTGTCTGTTCTAATTAACTAT